AAACCAACTCATGAGTTCAACTATTAAAATATTTTATTGTTATATCCCAATGAGTAGAAAAATTGTATTTCTGATCTTTCGTGACTTAATGTAAGCCACTTACTCTGAAGCAGCGGCTTATATCAACTGACGAAAAATCAGAAATACAATTTTTCTACTCACTGGGATATAAAAAAACATATTTATCATTTTAATAGAGAAAATGTTTATCAATAAAAATAATGAAAAAGATGATAAACACAGAAGACCTGTGAAAAATTCTTATATAGTTAGTTAATTATATTAATTCAATAGTTGAATTCACGAGTCAATTGAAATTACTATAATATCCAGAAAAAACCCTTTCGAATACTAATCAATATACGCTCACTAGTGACTGGCTTCAAGAGGTATTTCCTGGAGTTCTAATGAGAAGCTGTGACCAGTGGAGTTCAACCGGGTTTGTCGTGAGATAGTAACTCACTGAAAACGATGTTAAATGGTGGTGCAACTTCGTGGATTGGTCGGCGTTAGATATTAATACTGTTGAATGCCGGCTCAATGGTCTAGAGGATAAGCGTTCGCGCGCAAGATCGGGGGTCCTGGGTTTAAAACCCGCAGAGCGGGATCGTGGATGCGCAATGCTAATGAATCCCATACTAGGACAAAATGGCCATTCAGAGCTCCCATGTTTTTCATGGTGGTCTAGCTTCAACTGACTCATGAATTCAACTATTAAATTACTATAATATCCATAAAACCCCTCTCTGAGTTAATTATATGTTAATGACTTTGAATAGTTTAGAAGAAAATTTTAAAAAAATTAGACAGATCTTTGGAAAATTCATATTGAAATTGAAATCGATCCATGCTATGGACTTCAAAACAAACGTTAAAATACTCTTTACAAATGATTTCTAACAAAAAAAACCCTCGCTATTTGTTCAATTTTATAGAAATTACATCTGAAAATTGTGATGTGTTATGTTGAATTTAGATGAAGACCAATTGTTTATATTTTCAAGTATCTATAAAGTAGTATTATGTATTTATCTAAAATTCATAGCTTTACAAATAATAAAATGTTTTCTTTGTTTTAAGAACAATTAATGAACATCGTGATATTTTAATCATTAATTCAGCTTGTAAATGTAGACTATTGGATTCTGAATCAGTTCTCATAGAGATATATGAGGGACTTCAGTGATTTCTCAGGTAGGTTTACAAACTAGAACGAAACAATAGGTTAGTGATATTCTATGGTTTATGATACTTTTATAGGGAAAACTGCTTTCCAATTATATTTATGTCCATATTATGTTTCGTGATAATTGTTGTTCTACACTAAACAAATAACCCGTATTTTATTATTTGATATATACTATTTAAAATTTCAATCATATAGACTCACTTTTGTAAGGATGAATATGAGTTTAAAAAAGTCATCTTTATTATTCCATGAACTTCAATGCATTGATTATCAAATCATATATATTTATATTATCACACAATTTATGAACTTCACTAAACTATTACGCCACTCAACCTGAATTACCCCCCTTTATTGACCTCTGACCTGTTTCTAGCATGCATATATATATATATATATATATATATAATCCAATGATTTACACTCATTTATGTCAATTGTTTCACACTATCTCCATGTAAAAAATTCTATCACAGCTGACGAGAAACCTCGAAATAATATGAATTCATACTATTCTGCACCAATGTTTGTTCTTGCTCTATTTATATTTAAATCATATAACTTTCTCGACTAAACCAAATCAAGGATAGGTTATCGACGATGAGCTCCTCGATGTGTGTATATTAACTCATATGCGTCTGTGGAGCTAGTTACGTAGGTCGTACTCAGAGGGCTTTATCCTTGCATGTTCTTGAACATTTATCAGTATTTCTGAATAATTTGGTTATTTATTTATTCCCTGAAGAAGTGGCTTACATCAAGTTATGAAACGTCAGAAAATCTCATTTTTCTACTCATTGGGATATTACGAATATATTGTTTATTTATGTACCAGTATAGTTAGGAAAAGGAGTAACTAAATCAATCAACAGCACTATTCTTTCTCATTTGGTTGATAGTGAACATCATATCAAAATAGAGGAAGTTTTCTCTGTTTTACATCAAGTTTCAAAAATCTACCTCATGGAGCTAGATTACGACTACTCTACATAGTCGAAGATATCTGGACCAACTTCAGAAAACCAAACTTATGTATCCAGAAAATGTATATCCGGCCTCCATGCTTATCTTGGCCTACGACTGGATCACTAGATACCTAAACTGAATATTATAAACCTCTTACCCCGTTCCCATTTTTTTGATTACATCTATCTTAATCTTCACATCCATCATTCCCAATTCACTTGAATTTTCTTTTATCGTAATTACCTTGGTAACACTCCTCTTATTACATATTATATTCACACAACGATATTATTATTATTGTTATTATCACTATTACCTCACTTAACAAAATGAAATTCTCCTACTATGCATTTTGTTCACACGAGTTTTTCTTTATTCATTTTCATGCACTAGATACTTAAAACCATTCTAACCTTTGTTAAGTGACCTTTCTAATTTGCAAATAACATGATTTTGAAGTATATATGTCGTAACAGATGCAAACGTTCACCATTTTTAACATATATGATTGTCAAATTCCTTAATACATACCCTATCTTGGCCTTTGTAAAATATTCTAATCATGGACTTATAACTATAGAGCCTGATGATGAAGTAATTGAAACCAATCATCCGTTCAAATATTCGTCATTTTAAAAATCATTCATTGGTATTTAATTTATTATTGGTTGACATAAACGAAAACGGAAAGATGGCCAATTTTCTACAAAACTTTAATCAACATCTTTTGTATCGATATATACTACTCTTAATAGTTTCTGAGAACATAAGTGCAAAACAATCATTTATGTAAGGTTACGGAGAGAAAAAGTTAAAAGAAAAGATTTGAATGTGAATAACAACACTTCCAACAAAAATTATACTAATATTTGAAGAGTTTTCCCTATATAACTCCATATGTCTTAACAATGAAGTACTTTGTCAGTGTAAACTTAATTGATCGGATTAGTATTTTCATCATTAAGACTAGGAAAACATTTACAACCCATCATCTGTAGCCCAAAAATCATACATAGATTGATCTAACGAATCCAATTTTTCATTAATATGATTTTGTACAAAAACTCATAGCATTCGATACAAACCATGAGTACTGGAGTTTTCTACAGTCTGTTGATAAGAACCAAAGATTGTATAAATTAAACAAAATTTTGTTTTAAACTGATGCAGGAAAAAAATGTTACATAATATTAGCTACTTTAGGTAACCATTTTGTGTTAAGGAAAATTCTTGAATGTACACGAATAAATTTTTTTTTTAAAAATAACAAATTCAGTAATTAAAAATTAAATTTGGGTCCTTCATTTTGAAGATAAAACGTATAGTTTTAGTGGTAACGTTTCTGATTACAACTCTGGTTGACGAGGATTTAAATCGCATTGGTAGTGACGTTTTTCTTAAAATTTCATATGGACCTTAACTACGAATCCTAACAAGTATGAAACCTAGGTCCATCTTAGAGATCGCCTAAAACTCTATCATGATCCATCTAATCTATATGATACTTTAGTTCAAACCATAAATATCAAACTGTTATGAAACAGCTATATAATGAACCATGGTTTACAATGACTTTTTTCGGAGCTTTTGACTGTATGTAATTAACACTAAATGAAGATTACTCTGTAATAAGAAAGAGTAACAGCTGAAATAAATAACTTTAGTGGAGTTAGATGGTAGAAATATTTTTCATCTCATGGATTCTTAAAATTAGTGATGTTAACCTTGTCCGGTCATTGAACTAAATATTCCCCAGTGAATAATTTGCATCATTTGCATAAATCATATTCGAAAAGTTAAAATGTAGAGAATAAAACATAACCGAAAACCCATGTTTCATCATTATTTTTCCTTAAACTGTACATTAATGTTCATACAGTTTGCTCTGAAAAAAGACCATTATAATAAGATATCTGTTGTATATGGCAAATGTAATATTGTTATGTGATAGCTGACAAGATTGTTTAATAAAGCATCTATTTTTCTTTTAAAAATAATTTTAAATTAAAGAATAATCTCGATAGTTGAGATCATGAGTCAATTGAAGATAGACCACCATGGAAAACCTGGAAGCACTGGACGACTGTTTCGTCCTACCGTAGGACTCCTCAGCAGCGCACACCCACGATCCTGTCTCGCGAGATTCAAACCCAGGACCTACAGGTCTCGTGCGTGAGCGCTTAACCACCAGACCACTGAGCCTGCATCCAACGGTGTTATTAAAGATTAATTACCAGTGAAAGGATTAAAACAAAACTGAAAACCTGTAGTTTGAATCACTTAAGAACTGTGCTCCGCTTGTTCTTGCATATGATCGAACCCATAACTATCATTCGCGCAATCAAACATAATCATAAATGAAATTTCCATTTAATTACATATTTTCGTGTTTTTTTCTTTTGTTTATTTGTATACACAAGTGAAATTTTGACTTACTTCTGATTATTAAACATATAACCAACATTAAATTTTGTTAGTAAATTGTCTTTTGTTTTTACAAAATGAGGAGATTAGGTGGTTGAACGTGAACGATACGAATCCCTGAATATACATAGATATATTATTCATATCACTAATGATCGCTTCTTGTGTGATTCACACACTAATTGATCACTTAATTATCATACTGCATCATGGTCGAAAAAGTTTGGTCATCAAAAGACAATATGATATTGATTCCTACTAAGTAATCACGTAGTTTGAAAACTGAATCCAAAAAAATATCAGTATCTAATTATCAGCCTTCTGAAGATAATAAAAATCCTGAAGTTACATTATGTTCATTTCAGTGTCAATAATAGAAAAACAGAGTACAATTGAACATTTAGTCTATTGATCAACTTACATGAATACGTGATTGCCAGTTGAATAAACGCCATATAATACATGGTATTGAAAACATTGCAGCTTGTAACATTAACAAGAATGGCACCCACTGATAATAATGTATAGAATCTTTTCTACGTAACGGTAAATCTGATGGTATTGTTGGTTGATCAGGTGATATAAAATAAGTTGAAGTTACCCAACATACTAATGTAGCATATTCAACTTGTGCACTAGTAAATTCATTCGGTGTCCAACATGCTATTGGTTTACCAATAAATTGTCTACCCATTATTACAAGTGTACATATCATAAGTACAGTTGTTGTATATGAATGATTAATTCTATCAATAAAATCATCATCAGTTCGACTTTTACTACTTCCAATTTCAACACTTAATCGTGTTAGTCCATTTAAAACACTTGATTCAAACATAATGGTAACACTTTAAAATTAATGTATATTACTGAAAATCTATATTCATTTCAATGTTTGATATCTTTAGTATCTAATGCCAATTTAGAAATTACCATCTATATAGTTTAGGGATTTGTACAAATGTGTTTGTAATACTTTTGATGGATTTAATTACAAATTTCAAATACTATTGAGTGTCCTATAATTTCCCTGTCTATCTATCTATCTTTTATTTGTCCTATTAAAAATATCCAATCCGTTATGAGTTGTAATGTAGTTCATGAAAAACACTACTAACCTACGAAAATATTTGATAATGTGAGTAGAATAAACGAAGGATTTATTGGCTATCTTTAAAACTATTAGTTAGGAAAATATTTGGGAACAATTCGATCGAAATTAGGATAAATCTATACCTGAAGGAGAGAAATTCAATGTTAGAATTATGTTTATTATTTTAACAGTACTTTTCTGGTTAGCGTTTTTTTTAGCGAGTTAGTTTTCTACAGGATGAGGTCGCTAACCCCATGCCTAACCCTCTTCCTTTATACGGGATTGGGACTGACAGTAGCTCCAGAGGGGCTCCAGGTGGATTTATTTTAACAGTAAGTCGATAAATAAGAAAATGCTTACCAGAGCTGGTTCTTAATGATTGTCTAACTACATCCAATTTATACAATCTGATAGGTATTCGATCATTATTAGTTATGGTTCGAATGATCCAATTGCTGAGATTTGCAACTGAACACAAGTCAATCGTTTTTAGTAGCTATGATAGTGATTAATCGTTACTGTTAATCAGACATGATGGTCTGGAACATTTGTTCTATTAGATCTTATTATTTCCGTCAGGTTGCTTGGAAAGCGGTGAGACTTGGAGAGAAAACGTTTTGTCCTACTGTATATGGATGTGAAAACAGTAACATGCTTCCCTCAGACAACCGACATCTGCAACAGTGCTGCATTCTCACAACAGAAAGAGGAGTTTAGAAAAGGTTGATCCTAACAATAGTAAACTCCGTCTCGGCCCATGGATTTCCGTCTCCGGCAGTAAGACCTTAAAAATACGGGTCAAAATAATCCACAACTGCTTGAAAAATGGCGGTATGTAATTGACCTAAAGAAATTGTTTCTTCTTTGCTGTGGTAAGGCTTATAGGTCATCGTAACGACTTCTAATCATGTTACCCTTTCATATCCCCCGAATCAGAAGTATCCTTTCATGATGTAGCACTAGTGCTAACAATTACCGTTCATAAAATGCTATCTCAGGTTTTCTGGAGTCATGCTTCGAACGAAACGCCGGAACTTCTAAAATCAGACAACGGGCATAACTAGATAAGACCATAGAACCCGTTATCACAGATATATACTTTGTCGTCAAATTGAGAATACAGGATCCTAGGGTGACTATTCATTTTACTTAGCTCGTCTAATTTGGAGATTTAACACGATATACCCTATCTGTATGTGGTTATCTAACAGAAGCTTATTATGATCTTGGCTGTGTAGATATGGCAATAAATATGAAATTAGAACATGAATTTCTTGGATGGATTCCTTTCGAAAGTCACCTATGTGGTACCCATCTGAATCGTATAATAATAAGTCTGAAGAATAGGGGCGCACGAGGTTGACTCTACATCATCTTCTCTATGCCTCATCTCATTTCTACCTGAATTGAGTAAAAGGTGAGTTTTACAAGAAATATTATGATCTTCAAAAAGGTCATGAGCTCCCTCATGGTAATCTTAGTAGGTGATTTGAACGTCCAACATCAGTACAAAGATAAATACGAACAGGATGTATGGTCGTTATCCATCACTGGAAAGATTACTTAGAAGGCTGTTGATCCTTTAAAAGTACGTTCGTTAGATAAATTACGACAAAAATGGTCCAAAGAGATGGACACATCTGCGCACTATAGTGACATGTATATTCAATTATTTTTGTAGCGACAAAATAAAGACCATATTATTTCTTTATTCGTGACACTATATGTAATCACATTTATATTCAATATTCATTGTTTCTGTTTATCAATTGTAAAAAAACGGACATAATTGTTTGCTTGTACTAATACACACACACGTTACCGCTGTCATTAAAAAACACTATCTCTGTTGTCTGTTTTCTATTTTAATGGCCATGGCCTGCGATTGAAGGTTATAATAGTGTTATGCATCCTTTTATGCTATTCTACAATACGTTTGAGTTTTGGCCCATATAATTGTTAAATGACACTATTGGATTTAATCCTTCTCATCAAGCCGTTGGTGCCACACGTGCGGAGGAACCTCCGTTAACTGACTGAACTTATTTGTGGTTCATATCTCAGAAGGAGCTTACACGTTATATTCATTACATAACAACGGTTACCGTTTGTTAATTATTATACCATTTTGTTGTGACTGTTATTTGTTACCCTTTGGTTTACTCAAAACAAACAGTTCGTTTTGTGATGTTAGTGATTTTTGGTATGTCATTAGTAATTGTGCGGATAGTCATATCTTGAATAAGCTCTTTTAGTGGGACCCATCACAGCACCCACCACCGTCCGGAGTAGCCTGTAACATCAGATCTCATCATTATTCAAATTAGCAGGCGATAAACAAGAAAAACTGACTGCAAAGTATAACATGCTACTCTGCACTATGGTGTGTGCATCGAAGTATTATAAAGCCTGTTCCGCACTCTGGACCCATGCAAAAACAGAGTGTTGCGATTATGTGTTCGTTGACTACATGTTACACTATTTCTCATTGTCCGTTACACACTCTGAAATATATGCCCCATTGTCTTTGGACACAACGGATTATGTGACCAGGAAAGTGACTTTAACAATTATTGTTTAATTCTACTGGTCACGGCTTCTCACTAGAACTCCAGGAAATGAGATTTCTAAAATCTCCACAAAACACCTGATAATTATTGTTTAACTCGTTATCACATGAAAAGTGTTCGACTACAAACTATATACAGTTTTATACGAATGACACACCGCGTAATACTGATCTCTTTAAAAATAAGACAAAACAATCAACGTTTAAACATGGACGTAGAAAAACCCATCTTCATAGAAAACTATCAGATTTTTCTTGACTTCAGTTGTTCATGGTTAGGGTAAATCTATAACCAAATTTGTAATAGATCATCGAAATCTGCAACATCTGACCATACAACACGGAATATGACGATTTATTTCAAGTGGGAGATAAATCGAAATCAAGTCTAGCGATTGCATCGATCAACTAACCGTTTACGATAACGTTTAATGTATGCTGAGTTAAAGTTCATTTGCTGTAGATAAATCTTAGATAAGTTACTTAAAGTTTTTGCAACTTTCAAAGTGGAAAACGATATTCATTGAAGTTCTAAATAAGTCATTTATCTGCAACAAAAGTGATTTAAACGACCATCAGTATAATAAACGCACTTGTTCCTGAAACTACAATTCTATGATTATACTATATTACAAATCATTCTATAACACCCAGGAAACTCTCCGAGACAAATATTAAATGCTGCACAATTAGTTACATCGTTTGAGACAACAGACAATGCATTTGATGTAGATGTAGCCTTCACATATAAAACTCTGTATTAGTTAGGAGCCATGATTATGACCTAACTGAAAAGAAATATATCGTTGTTCAGTTTGTATTTTGAACACCTGAACAGCAGTATTTGAAGTAATACTTATGGATTTCGCAGGACAGTATGATGATAATTCAACTTCGACAGTGTTTGGAGATGTTGAAACATCCCTTTCTGTAATCAGTTTGAGAACTGATGAGTTTAAAAACAGTCGAATTTTCACATTAATTTGTTGGAAGGTTTTATGCTAAAGTGTTACACTGAGTCATCCCTTTCCAAGAGAAATAACTAATTTTCAAATGATTTCAGAAATATTTATCTTTGTCTGTGAAAATGTTTATTTTCAACTTATTTCTGTAACGGTGGATATACTGAATATGAAAATGAATTGCGGGTCAAATATTGAATTGAGGTTGTAGTGGGATTAGTTCACTAAAGGAGTCTTTACAAATAAGTTTGTTTTCAACGATCTCTGATGGACTGACGTCCATTTTGAGATGAATGTATGGACAATTGCTTCATTCTAGTTTGTGACTCTCAACCCGTGTGACCATGCAACCCCCATTTATAGCGTTTCCTGTCACAATTTATTATCAAGATTGTCATATTATATTGAGATTTGAATTTCTATAAACGTCAATGTTTCCTTGTTTTGTATCCAATGTGCTTTACTGTTGACAACATGCTGATTTGCTAAGCAAAGATTTGATAATCTTTTGCTCTTGATATTTAAAAATCACAGTAATATTATACTAAACTACTATTCTACTTTAGTAACAGACTAAGAAAATTGCATATGTTCAACTAACAGGAGTATCTCAATAACTAATATGAAATGGTTATCCTGATGTAATTTATTAGACCTTAGAAATGAAAATTGTTTTGAATGAACAAGGTCCTAATCAATGAAATATTTTCTGAATGATTATAGATAAGAGCTATTAGGAAAGTTCAACCAACTTTCTAATAATCCTTTACTATGTTCACAACATTTTAACAGAACATGATCGTTAAAAATTAGACACACGTATATATGACAAACCGATCTGAGCGAGTATTCCTTCAAACTACACACATTTTTGACTCTATCATTTAATAATTGCAAGGAAAGGTTTAGTACAGTAATAAAACACAAATGGCAACAATCGAATGTATTTGAACACAAAATTACTGAACATCTTAGTAAAATCTGAGAACCATACAGTAAATACTTAATTTACAGAATGTCAATCAATCGTTCCAAACTTCACTGTTCCTTAATTTTCACAGCAATCATTCACTATTCTCATTCTATTTTCTTATATCTTCTTAACCTTCCACCACTAGGCATTTTACTTTGAACCAATGATACATACTACTTGTATCTGTCGGTATTGGTAGCACACATCCCAGAATGTTCATTTATGGACCTTCTCATAACTTTTTGGTATTTGACATTTTCATATATAAAGATTATAGTTGAAATAGAACTTTTTTTGTCAACTAAATAGAGTAACTTCATGTTCCATAATTAGGTAGAAAACTAATAAGTTAT